AGCATTGAGGTGGCCTCAGGACCAGGGCAGCGGCCGGTGGGCGAAGCGATGACGGCCCCGCCCCCTTATTCGCCCCGCCCCTCCCGGATGCCAGTGGGTGCAACTGAGCCTTGCCTGTCATGTGTGCTGCAGGTCTCTGAGCTAGGGTGCTGCTTACTGAGTATCCACTGACTGAAGCGCTGGAGAGTGCTATCTCCTGTTTTGCAGCTGGAGGAGCAATGCTTACATCCGAACCCCAGGGGAGCACTGCGCCTTCGTGTCACGGGTTATGTTGCATTTGGTACTTTTTGCAAAACTTTATTTTTTCTTCAAAGCAGTGTGATCCCATTCCTAAAACATCTTCAGGAAAAAAAAAAAAAAAAGAAAGGAAGGAAGGAAGGAAGGAAGGAAGGAAAAAGAAAGAAAGAAAGAAAGAAAGAAAGAAAGAAAGAAAAGAGAAAAGAAACCAATAATGTTATCTGTCAGCACTGAGGGCTTAAAAATAAAAACAAAAAAAAAGCGAGTCAAATCCAGATGCCCAGAGATTTGGACCATTATGTTTCAAGTTTTCCCAGGACTCCGATCTTTATAGCACGTGTTTCTGACCGTCCGATTTAGAGACTTGATAGTTTAGTAAGCCGGGCAGAGAGGATATGGCTCAGTGTCATGGGTCATTTGTGCCAGTTCAGATGGCAGCTTTGCTGTCACAGCTGCTTGTCAGAGAAAATCATCCTGAGTGTGGGTACGTGCACATGAGTGCAGTTACCTGTGGCGGTCAAAGGCATCAGATGTCCCTGGAGCTAGAGTTACAGGTGGTGGTGAGCCATCCAACACGGGTGCTAGGAACCCAACTTGGGTCCCTTACAAGACCAGTAAGTACTATTAACTGGTAAGTCATCTCTCCAGCACTCCAGGGAACCTGATGGGACAGGCCATGAATCTTTAGTTCTCTTTAGGGACTATTTGATTTAATAAATATTGCTTCTTTCTGCATTCTGGCTAGAACTGGCTTTACACGTTTCACCCCTGTAACCTTCTTACCCTTCCTTTCCTTCATCCAAAGGACAGATGGCTATGCTTGTGTCCTGGGTTATTTCTGCAGTGATTTTGGTATCTTCCTTTCTGGTTGGGGTCAAGGGGACAGGCGGCCTGTAGCATGTGCTCAGTGTGCTCGCTACTCATTTCCAGCTGTGCCTTCTCTGGAATCTCATCCTAAAAGGGGACCAGCCTTGCCTGGTGGTACATGCCTGGAATCTCAGCATTCTGGAGAGAGGCAAGAGGATCACAAATTCCAGGCCACATAAGAAAATCCAAGATACACAGTAAAGAGCCTAGATAGATGATAGATAGATAGATAGATAGATAGATAGATAGATAGATAGATAGATGATAGATAGATAGATAGAAAGATAGATAGATAGATAGAGGCTCTTTGCGTGTACACACACACACACACACACACATATGTATATATGGGGTTGGAGCAATGAAGACAGCCCACAAAGTGCTTCCAGGAAAACATGAGGATCTGAGTTCAGATCCCTACTGCCTACATTGTTGAGCACTGAGTTAGATAGGGCAATTCCAGTGAGTCTGCCTACTATAAATAAGAAGATAAAGCCTAATGCTCACAGAATAGATGAGAATCATTTGATGTTATCTCCATGGAGTGTGGCTACTCAGCTAAATATTTTGACTTCTGTTGAGATGGTGATAGTGATAATAACTAATGTACTAAGATGGTAGTATGCTAGAGTGTCAATGTCAAGACCCTCAGTAAATATATGGTAAGCTCAAACAACAAAGTCCAGAGAGCCGACTGATGTTATGGCTCAGACCATCCTTATCAATGTTAGAAATAATGCCAAACCCAGGTTAGATTAGAATGTGGACTTCTGGGTGCCCCAAGTATAAAACAAGTGCTGATATAAAACAGGATTGCATCCTCTTTCAGGGTCAAAAAAAGTTGGATTGGGCCTGAAAAAATGGCTTAGTGGTTAAGAACACTGACTGAGTTCAGTTCCCAGCTCACAACCATTTGTACCTCCAGTTCCAGGGCATCAGACACCCTTTTCTGATGATCTCCATGGGCTTTGCAGGACACTGGTGCACTTACATATATTCAGGCAATACACCCATACACATAAATAAAAATGAATAAAAAATTCTTTAAACATTGTATTAAGATTTTGGCCAGTTAGGAGCATTGTGATACCTGAAACTAGGGTTTGTGATGTGAGAGGAAGGGCAGCTATGATCAGAACTGATCATCTGAATAAAGGAGTTTGCCACTGAGCCACAGCAGGTTATATGAATAATTATAGTAATAAAGTTAATTGCACCTAGAGTTGATGACACATCAGAGGGGTTAAGAGAAAAATGGTTAGATCAATGGATGCTCCAGTGTGAGTTAGGTTTCTGGCTAAAGGTGAATATATAGTTCCACCTGCTCCTGCTCCTACTTCAACTATAGATGTTGCTAGAACAATGAGAAAAGGATGGTAGGAGAAGTCAGATGTTATTGTCCAAGGGAATGCTGTTAACAAGGGACTAATCATTAGAGGTACCAATCAGTTGCTGAATCCACCAATTATTATAGATAATCCTGTAGAAGACTGGGGTTTGGTTCCCAGCATCCACATGGCAACTAACAACCATCTGTAACTCCTGTTCCAGGGGATCTAACACACGCTTCTGACCTCTGTGGGCATTGCATGACATGGGTGCACTTACCTACAGGCAGGCAATACACTTATACATATAAAATAAAAATAATAAAATATTTTCTTAAAAAGCAGCTTTGGCTGGATGTGGTGGTGCACGCCTTTAATCCCAGCACTTGGGAGGTAGAGGCAGGCGGATCTCTGTGAGTTTGAGGCCAGTCTGGTCTACATAGCGAGTTCCAGGTCAGCTGGGGCTACAGGGAGACCCTGTCTCAAAAAGACCAAAATAAATAAATAAAAAGAAGCTTCAATTCTTCCAGGATGTCTCCAGCTTCTTCCCCTCCTCCTGAAGGAAGAAGAAGTAGACTGAAACCAGTTGATTAGGGTATCTAGCTGTTATCTAAAGTTTTGTGGGGTCAGAGCACCTATCTGATGAGGATTTAGCTCACATAAATTGATTTGTGTTCAGTAAATGTAAGATAGAGTCTAGCAATCCTTAAATTTCAGAAGTTAAACTTGTAAGTTTAACCTACTTAGGGTTTTGAAGACTTTCAAGCCTTTTCCTAAACTTCTAATAAATGTTAATTATAGGTGATAAAGGCACTGGAAAGGTAAATAAAATGATTAAGGGAGCTAAAATGGTTTTGTTTTATTTTCTTGATGTAGTTTAGCTTTTATATTATTGGTAGATGGAAATAGGGTTAGTGATGTTGCATAAATTAGTTGTACATACAAAAATAGATTAAACAGGGCTCCTGTGGCTATTACTACTTATACAATCATGTTGAATATTTAGTTATTTCTATAATAATTATTTATTTTTGTTAAAAAAAAAAAAAGACCCAAAAATAGGGAGAGACTTCCTAGGGATAAGAAGAGAAGTAAAAGGCTGGAGAGATGGCTCAGCGGTTAAGAGCACTGGCTGCTCTTGCAGAGGACCCAGGTTTGGTTCGCAGCACCCACATTGTGGCTAACAACCATCTGAAACTCCCGTTCCAGTGGTTCTGATGCCCTCTTCTCACTTCCATGGGCATTGCATGCATGTGGCACATCTACATACTTGAAGGCAAAACACTCATACACACAAAATAAAATTTAAAAATCCAAAAAAAGTTTTTTAAACAGGATAGGAGGCCTGCAGAAAGAAATTCCTTGAGTTATTTCCCCTATTCCAAAGTGAACTGTGACTAAGTCTAATTTTACCGTAAGAGAAATAAGTATTATAATAAAAATTAAATTGTGGGTGTTGGTCTGCAATCCTCATTGTCTGGAGTTGTGATATTTTATTATAATTGTTAATAGAAAAATTATGGGAAGGAACATTTGGTTACAGTTTCTGTAGGTCAAGGTTTAGGTGCAGTGGGGTGCACTTGTGATCTCAGCGCTGGAGCAGTGGAGAAAAGTGGCTCCCCGAGGCCCAGAGGCCAGCCACTCTAGCCAGATCAGCAATCTCCAGGTTCAGCGAGAGACTCTGCCTCATAAAATAAGGGAGAGAACACAAAAGGTTGACATCTGGCCTCCATGTGTACATGCACACATGTGCACACACACAAACATGTAAACACTCATACACAACCCCCGCCAAATCGATTACTTAATTCTTTTAAAAGATGACCGAATCATCTTTGCAAACTGTGGGGAAAAGGGTAAGAAATACCCAAGAACTTCTAAGCAGATTTTGAACCCATAGGAAACCTTCCGTTGACAAAGGTACACAATCCAGGATATAGATGGTTTTAGTTTTACTGTGAACTCTTGCCTGGAGTTTGTAAACCTTGTATTTCTGCTTTTATTTCCTCCCTGAAATCAAACCACTGGGATATTAGTTGATTCAGTTGGAATTCCCTTCCTTGTTTGAAGCTAATTTAATATCCCCCTTGGGAGGTAGATTTCTGAAGGATGGATTCTTTTGTTTTTTTTCCATGCCATTTTCTTTTAAATTTTTTAATTTTTTTTATGTGTATAAGTGTTTTGCCTGCATGTATATAAGTGTACCCATGATGTACAATGACCACAGAGGTCAGAAGAGGGTGTCAGATACCCAGGAGTTGGAGTTAAGCATGCCTGTTAGCTACCTTGTGGATGCTGAGAATCAAATCTGGATCCTCTGCAAGAGCCTCCAGTGCTCTGAACCACTGAGCATCTCTCTAGCCCCATTTTCCTAGCTCATATCTGTGGCCTCTCACAGGCTAAACCGT